ATATATTTTTGAAAAAGGATAATAATTCTTATTTACTCTTATTTCATAATATTGTTTTTTTTTGTTGTAAATAATGATAAACATCATAAATTCCCTATGAATGAAATATGAATAATGAACTCATTATTTGCGTTGTTAGGCATCAGTGATTGGCCGATATCAATATTCACTGTGATTTGAACCAGTTTCCGCACATACTAAGTATGTGAGTTTCCGCAAAGCGCGCGCCATCTGGGGGAGTTCGATAGCATTGTGTAAAGTTAAGAATTGTCAACAATACATTTAAACCATACGAACTGCACATTATAAATAAGTAGTTTTTCACAAAAGAGAGGAAGGCACAAGTCTTATTCGACAAATTTTGTTCAATTGCACAGCTAAATCGCGCACGTTATTTGTGTTTTACGTTGCAAGAAAAAAACTAAAAAACTGGTTTAGTACTTGATTTCGATTGATTATATACAAAAGTTTATATACAAAAGTGCTCTTTTAGTTCCACCCTTACTTCCTAAGAAGTCCCAGAAGCCAACTGAATGGCTTGAGCGGGTTAGGGGTAGGAACGGACTGTGGGCTTAAAGTCCCCTCCGAAGGACTATTACACAATAGGGCAAACACAAATAAACAGCCATACCCCTGGTGGGATTCGAACCCACAACCTCTTGGCTTGTAGTCAGCAGCACTAACCACTAGTCCACCGTCGGCGGTCGGTGTCATTGATTAAGAAACTCAACGCTTATATGCTTATATAGTTACGTTAGTGTGTATATTTTATTTAAGGGATCATGGTGAATTATTGTGTTTTAAATTGTAAATAAAATTCAAGAACTAAATCGTTGAATTTTCATGTTTTGCCAAAGGATCCAATTAGGTAAGTACATTTGTTGGTCCAGAAGTTTGGACATTTTTAAGAAATTAGTTAAAAATAATTTTTGCACAAACATAAGCTTAAAATCGAACATTATTATATTTGAGTCTAAAAAACGACGACAACTGCATTTTAAACAACAAAATATAACTACCTACGAATTCATGGCAACATAATATCGCTGGTTTGGAGCAAGACTATCCTAAGTCTATTTTTAAAGAATTGGAGAAAAACACTATTGAACATTTCTATTTATTGTCATAAATTGTTTTTTGCGTCATTCTTTTAAAAAGAAGGTTTTACATCCAAAGATTAATAAATAAATACATATTATGCAAAAAAAAATTTAGTTACAATTCTTAAAAAATGTACTTAGGATAGTCTTGCACCAAACCAGCGATATTATATATAATACATAATATAATAGTATTCTACCGTTGAATGAAGACTTTCTTAATCAACGCTTTTAATAAAGCTAAATGCTGTTTGAATTTAGACGACTTATTTGTTTGACGACTTTTACTGAATTGAACTTTTCACGTTAATCATTACTAAAATGTGTATTTATTGTATCAAAAGTATATGGGTCCAAAGATTTTTATTTTCACATACAAAGCCTAAACCTTGCTGGACTGTTTTCGATGGACCAACCAGTATAATATTAATAAACGTTATACGTTATACAGTTTAAATTATAGAACACTTAAAGATAAAATTAATTTAATTAGATTCATTGGTTATTGAACGCCTTTGGTCTATATTAAAGTTTCAAAAAAATAAACTTTGTAAGGTTCAGTTTTTTTTAAACTAAAGCGACCAGTTTGTTTTGTGTGTTTTTGTTAAAATGCAATGGTAGATTGTTTTGTATTTGGATGTAAAAGTTATATTCCAAGGTAAAAACCTAAAAATCTATTTGATTAGCCGGCCATACACAGACGTTATTGCGCGCGGTTTATCGTGTTATCTGCAAAAACATATGGAAAATCATGTACGTGAGTGAGTGTCGCCGCGCGCAATGATAGAACGGGAAGGGATAACAGACGTGCTTTCGTCTGGAGTGTGGCGTTCATCATTTCAGCAGTGTCCACACGCCAAACGCCGCATTCCGCGCCACGGTTTATTTCAAATTTTTCGTATATTAGTAGTTGGTTTTTTAAAATTTTGGCATGGCCGATATTCGTCACGTTACAAAAGAAGTCTTGACAGAATTCATAGAGATTTATAGGTCTCATCCAGCTTTGTGGAAGGTAAAATCGAAGGAGTATGTTAATAGAAATTTAAAAAATTTGGGTTACGATGCGTTAGTGGAATTTTATCAAAAGGTAGACCCAAATGCTGATCGAAACCTTGTCTCTAGAAAAATTCAATCAATGAGGGGCTCGTTTCGAAAAGAGCTAAAAAAATTTGAAAAATTTAAGAGAAGTGGCGCTTCTAGTGATGATCAGTACGTGCCAAGTCTCTGGTATTTCGATTTATTAATGTTTACCCGGGAACATGAAATATCTACAGAGAGTTTTGATAATATGGCGAACAGTCCCTCATCCCCAGAAGAGACTTCCATTTCTGAGACTATTGACAACCTTGACGAAAACTCCACTGAAAATAGCCAAATTTTTTCTGATGAACCACGTGCTGTTCCTAGAAAGGAGAAGGAAAAAGTTGAAAGGGATGAAATGGTTTGTATATATTTTATTATTTTAATTTTTATTTCCTGTTGATAATTCATTGTACAATTAAACCTTACATTTAACAAATATTTGTTTGTGTAAATATTTATATTAGTTTATGTAAATATTTATATTTTTTTTGTATTTTTTTTTAAATGAGAACTTAAACAATTGTTTAGGCTTTTCCCTTATTTAGCATGTCTTCTTGCCATGTCACTGTACCTTCTCCATTAAAGTAGGTAACATATTTATCACGATTTAATTTAGCTGATAAATAAGTACTCTGACGTACATTTCTTAGACCGACAAGTTGTACTTCATTGTCACGCCATTCAGCATTGTAAGTTATTTCGTGAGACATTGCATTTACAGAATCAAAAGCATTTCCACCAACATATGAACTTGCCTTTCTCTTTAAAAAGTTATGAAGCACACATATAGCCATTATAAAGCAACAAACTTTTTCAACGCCTACATTTATAGGTGTATGCAAAATTCGAAATCTGGCTGCAATCAAGCCGAAAACGTTCTCAACAACATTTCTTCCCCGTGATAATCTGTAATTATATATACGCCTGTCATGGGTGAGATCCCTTTGTGGAAATGGTTTTAAAATATGGTCATGTAAACCAAATGCTTCATCTCCTATAAATACGAAGTTCAAATCTGAAATAGTTTCCGCACTATCAGGCAACTTAAGTCGATTTGAAATTAAATGTTTGAAAAACGTCGTTTGTTCTAGTACTCCGCCATCTGAGAGCCGACCATTTTTTCCAACATCAACATACAAAAACTCATACTCTGCATTCACGATTGCCATTAACACAATACTATAAAAGTTCTTATAATTATAGTATAATGCGCCTGTATTTGGTGGCGGAACTATGCGAATATGTTTTCCATCGATGGCGCCTCCACAGTTAGGTATCTGCCATCGTGAGTTAAAGACTTTAGCAATACTTTTCCAGTCGTCTTTACTTGACGGCATCTGAAATAAAAGACACAATATGAAGGTTATTTTCAATGAATTATCGCAAGAATTATTATTAGTATTTTTAAACTTTTTAAATGCCAAATCGTTTAGGACAAATTAAACAGTTCCTATTTTTTTAAGTTGACGAAGTTTTGACTTTTATTAACTTTTATAAAATTCAACAAAACGTCAGTAATTAAAAAAAAATTGTTTTATTTGTTCTAAACCCGCTATTTTACTTTTAAAAAATATCAAGTTGTGACAGTAAAGAGTTACAAATGAATATTTTTAAACATAATATATTAACAAGGTAATTTCATTTTACAGGACTTCAAAACACCTGCCAAAAGAGCAAAGAAGAAAGTAACACCTCATGAGATGCAGCAGCAAATATTTATGAAGAGTTGCACGGACGCATTAAAAAACTGTGGTGAAGAATCAGATAGTACAACTTTTGGAAAATTTATTGCAATAAAACATGCAAAGTTAAATGAAACACAAAAGATGTATGCTGAAACCCTAATTACGAAAATACTACATAAAGCGGCACAAAATAAATTAACAGAAGACACTATCATTCTCGAGCCGCAGCCGCAACTTAGGAATACTTTTTCTCCGTATAGTTCATCACCGGAAACATCTTTTGACCATCAGCTGCAAGTTGAGAATACTCGATCTCGATCTACACCATCACCTGGTGGTATGGAAGTACAGGGGGAAGCACACAACGCAGGACAGTTATTGAACAATTTTTCAACTTTTTTTAGAATGTAAATACCTATAAACCTAAATAAATAATACCTAGGTATATTAAACTTGCCTTTAAATACTCCTTATGCAATACTTCATACAGAGCCTTGCACGTTTCGGGTATGATGCGTCCTAAAGCTTGGGCAGATATTCCTGTGGTAAATTTTAGGTCTTCATAACTACGTCCAGTAGCAAGAAAACGAAGGGTGGCAATAAGGCGTTCCTCGGCTGGTATACTTCGTCTCATTGCAGTATCTTGTTTACTTATATATGGTTTTATTAAATTTAGAAGCTCATCAAACGTGTTTGCGTCCATCCTTAAATAATTTTTAAAGTCCTCTGGATTATTATCCTTTAATTCTCGCAAAAGCGACATATGGCAATACTTTTCCCTGTCAGCCAACCAACTTTTCTGCCATATACGTCTTTTTTTCTTTTTTTCTTTAGAAATTACCATGGCCATAACCGCACATCCAACAATACAAATTTGTTTCTTTTTATCCATTATAATTATTATAATTATTAATATAATTAACAAAGTATTTCAACGAACTACAAAACTTATTACAAAAATTATTAGCATTAAATAATTATAATTATAATAGCATTCCGCGTCACGGTTTACCTTCGCTTGGCGAAATCACGTTGAAAATTTGTACATGATCACATGCAGTTCCAAACGATTCGATAAATGACACTTTTTGCCCACTCACATACGATTTTTCCTTTGAAACTTATATACCACGCGCAATCACTTGCTAAATCATTTGAATACTTTATCAAGTGTATGGAACATGACGCTTTTTTTGCCACGCCGTTCTTTCGTGCATGCAAACCGCTACATGCCAACACGCCACGATAAACCGCGCGAAATAACGTCTGTGTATGGCCAGCTATTGATTTTAGGTAATAAATGTATTTGTTTTATTGAGTATATGTTATACCAGTTCCTAAATAAACAAATAAGTGATCTATCATTCAGAATTATCTTATTTATCATTAAATTATGCATAAAACTGTTGACAGTTCCGCTCAGTTTTTCAACTTATCAAGTTCTGATTACGCGTCCACTCTCTTTTTTGTCTAAGCTTTGCTCCAATAAGATTTTATATTAAATTAAGGAGGTTATGTGCAAGTAGTTTATATTTAATATTGTTTTTCTTACCGTAAATCCTCTAGAGTTATTAACATCGAACGTAGATCTAGCATGAACTGCGTTTCTCGAATCCTTCAAAGTCTCCAAATCGGGCGGTCTAATATAAATCACGTACGGTTTCAATTGAGGCGTCCTCAGCATTTTTAAGGCTTGGTAGTGCGGATTTAGAATGCAAACGTGACCCTCGCTTACGATTGCCTTGACACTTTCCGAAGAAGTTCCATACAAGTTACCTTTGTACTCTCCGAACTCAATGAACTTGCTCGCTTCAATGTCTTCTTCCATTTTTTCGCGGGTCACGAAAAAGTATTCTTTACCGTTAATTTCTCCTGGTTTAATCGGTCTACTTGTGTCTTTATAAACATAAACAAAAACACAATAAATGTTGCGTATATATAGAGTTACGCAATTTATTGTATTAAAAAATATATAATATTATACCTCAACTAAATTTAACAGCCCAAAAACCTATTTCTTGTATTTGTGCTATCAAATTTTAATAAACTTACATGGAGTGGGTGTTCGGTACTTGTCGGGATCAGTGTCGATCAGCCTTCGTTTGAGCTCGTTGCGACCGACGCCCGGCGCACCAATCAGCACGATCGGGCGGTAGATTCCCGGTCTCGGGTACAATTTGGCGACCTCTTCGTAGGTGGCGATCTCTTCGCGATCAAAATCGTCGTTTTCAGCTGTGTCATACATGATTTTTTTAATTTTTGGTTTGGACGCGCAACGAGGGGATTTCGGGGACTTACTGCATGTAAGCACAGGCAAGGCTGAAACAGAGCAAAGCCCTACGGCCCAACAAAAATGAGGATGTTAATATGAATAATGAAGACATGCTTTTACTTTGAAATTTACTGGATACACTTTTTTTACTAGGGCAACATAATTTCACAATCATTTCATATAGTACAACAGACGGTAGTACAGGAAAAGGAGATCATCTGATTAGCCATGCCATACATGAATTTAATTTTCTTCAGATTCCTTGATTCATTCTTACGCATCTTTGAACTCCCAGAAAGGGTATGAGTTAAGTAAGAATTAAAATAAAAAGAGGTTATATATCGTTCTGTTGTGAGTGTTGTGTTAAATGATAATGTGGGACTATGATATAAATGCCTATAGTAATGATGAAGAGAACTTTAGAAGACCAAAAGTTATTTGTCCAAGAGAAATCATTTTGAAATGTGGGACAATATTAATTTTCTAACCAGATTTCGGTTGTCTCCAAGAACGGTAGAAAATATTTTAGAGGAAATTGTTGATGTAATACAATACAGGTGAAAAGTTTATTTAGCAAAAAGAATTGCGAGACGGCTCTCAGCTTATTGAATCCTTCTAAATGTCATATTTTAATTTTGTTCGTTGTAGAAATGACGCTTTATCCGCGGAAAAGCAATTATTGCTTACCCTGCGGTTTTACGCCACGGGTTCTTTTGTCTTGAATTAGCTGTTCGTTTAGCCCGTTCAACGGCTGGTGAGTACCCATGGCTTTCTTGCGATTTCCTAATTTTTTATGCATTTTACTTTCTTTTTAGCCAAAGAAAAAGTTGTAGATCGAGCCTTTTTTTGAGCGGTTCAGTATTACATATAGCAGTTTTATTACACGACATCACTGCCTTCAAATAAATATACCTAATAAATTGCAGCACATTTTCCACTAAAGCAAAAAATAAACTTACCGTAATCTTAAAATTGTAATCAATAAATTTAATAATTTTATAATAATGATCACACTACCTTCGTGACATTCTTAAAAAAACGCTAAACAGAGTCAAAAATGACGTTGGTGTGCAGCCGTTACCATGACAACGCATTACCAACTTTACAAATTTTACACAAACCTAGAGTTGATAAATCCTCACTATGATTGTAATTGAAAAACCTAAACGCGACCTAAACTCGGAGTTGACTTAAGTCAGAGATAAGCCAGAGTTATTCAACTCTGGATTTAACTAGCCTATTGAAAAACTGACCCTTAAGCGTGGAAAAAAAAGGATTAGAACTGCCATCCTTTTCGACGCTTTTATGAATAAAATTTCCTTCTACAGTGTGGACTATATTAATTACGCCAACTTCAATAGCAGTGGCCATGGTCGTTCTGATTAAATAATTTAAAAAGTTCAAACACATATTGTAGCGTATTTTTTTTAATCATTAAGGAAAAATTGTTTATTTACCTACCTTTATCATCACAAAAAGCGCAATTTACTCATCATTAACCTTATAATCATTTAAAACCCCACTGTATGACATGGTTGATAAGATTATCTACCCGTTACCTGTACATGCAAGGGAAGCCTTTTCAAAATGTTTTACAAAAATTATTTTAAAATTTAACTAAATAAATAATCAACAAAATGTAATTAAATATACAATCATAATTAATATTACAATAATATTATTAAGTAATAGTAAATATTGAACCGCGTGCTTCGCAATTGAACCTAATGTACTGAACTACGTCACAATTTGTATTGTAGGTATTTGTATTTATTATTTTATACATAACATTTATGTATAAAATAATAAATAATAAATACATTTTAATATATAAAGTATCGTAAATAATTGGCATAATTTAACATTAATTATACGACGTTCAATAATGAAAAAACAACAGTGACCACTGTTTATGTACAAACTAAAAAAAAACACTAACGCCCTTATATTTTGGGAGTTCGTACCTACATATTTTCCAAAATTTTGCTTGGATACTGTACTTACTGTCAAAATATTGCCTTTAGGTTGTTAAGTTAAGAAATATTAAATTTAAACACACAAAAAGGTAACATTGCAATGTTAACGCCATTGCGTTACAAAACAAAATTTTGGCATGCTGGGAATGTCAAAACAGGAATTATAATGATTTATTAAATACAATATTATATTGTATAAATACGATCAGAATAATAAATATTTTGTAAAAATGTGTGTATAAAAAATAAACGAAAACTTGTTTTGTATTGAATAGTATAGGTCTTATTTATTATATGTAGGTATTTATAATAAGTGAGGAGGTGCATTCCAAAACTCGGCTTATCCATATTAGTTGTTTTCGAGCAAAATGTCAAAAATCTTACACGTGAGTACTAACGTACAGTACAAGTAAAACATTTATATACCTTGATGAAAAAGGAATAGCTCCAGTTTAAAATAATTTAAAATTACATACGTATATGCCGAGTTCTGCATGATATAACCAATAGAAAAGGCAAGTTTTGGAACGATAGTCAATTTGTAAATGAATTTTAAATGGAATAAGGTTAGTTTTAGAATATTATGAACTTTTCAGGGTATAGGGGGATACATGTTAAATGTACAGACACCATTAACTCATTTTTATTAAAAAGTGGATAAGCCGAGTTTTGGAATGGACCTCCTCAAATATTATGAATAGAAAATATCGAGAAACACGATATGGCAATTTGCAATAAAGTAACCCTTGATGAATTGGTGTGATATGAAATGAGTAAAGAAGTATATATGGAAATAGTAAAGAAAATAATGAATTTGAAAGCAATAAAAGCATTGGGACAGGGTTGAGAAAATTTACTTACCATTCTCGTTATCAACTTGCGTTCTATCATGTATTATTCTTCGTTCTTGTAAAGCTCTGCTCGGAATTAAGCCTGCTCTCATATTTCTGTCGCCTTCTTTCCTAGCTTGCCACCTTAAAACCAATCCTGAATGTTAAAACATATTTTTGATTGATGTTAATATATACCAATAAGCATCATCCTGTGAGACAATATGCAAAACATCTCCCTTCTTAAAATCCAATCCAGCCTCCTTGCAAGGAATATAGGGGTCCGTTGAAGAATCGTAGTCAAAATGAGCTCTTACCCTAACTTTACTTTCTCGTATACTACATTTGCTATCTGCGGGGACAAGTTTGAACGTTATTGTACCCTCTGAGCTTTGCTACAATAAAATAAATGTTAAAAATTACAAAATTAAATTCATTTTTGTATACCAAAATTGCTAGAACATCATTTGGTGTCTTTCCTTCGACATTTATTCCATTAACTTCCACAACTTCATCTCCAACGTGTATTAATCCTGATCTATCGGCTGCCCCACCGTGCATCACCCTGGCTATAACTATTTTGCCACTGCTTTCGTCTGTTTTTATTGTGGCACCCTAAATAAAACCATTTTAAGTATGTTGTCATGTTTTTGGAATTATATAATAACACTACGCCAGAAAGCATATCTGGAGGGTGTTTTATGAAATTTGCGCTTCTTTTGATAATCAGAGAACTGCATTTGAGTCAATCCATATCAAAATTTATATATTTTTTTATTTGTACTATATTTAGAGAGTTAAAAAAGGTATTCATAAATTTTTTAGATGTTCAGATTTTTTGTAAGCTGTCATTTTGTATTTGCGCCAGCCTATTTTACAGAAGTTTGCGTTAAACCTTAAAATTTTTACTACAAGCAACGTTATATCAAGGGGTAAACAATTCTAGAATCAGCGAGACAACATTCAGGGTTATATAGGCGTTATAAGCATATATGCTTTGAACATTTTTTCTTACTTGACGCTTATACGAGTATAAGCGTTCAATCCTTATAAGGAAAAATCCGTATAAATAAGAAACTTCTATTAGCAACGCATTGCGTATGACTACCCTTGGAATTTTTTCCTTAGCCGTTAATTTGTGTGTGATTTTTAATTTTTTTAAACCAGCTAAATTTTAGCTTTTTTTAAAATGTATAAACTAAAAAGTTACAGTCTCAGTGGTGAAATTTTCGAAAAATTTTGTATTTTTAAAATGTGAGATATTTCAGATTAAAAATACCAGATTTTAGATGAATTTTAATATTTGAAGGCCCATTAAAAATAAGGCCTAAAACTTTTTAATGAAGTAGTAAACAATTAAGACTACATCGAGAGAAAAAATTGAAGGTGATTTTTTTCTTTCACATTTTTAATTATAAAAGAAGAAGTTTTTATTTTGAAACATTTACCATATTTGTGTTTATTTAAAATTAAGTAGACCTTTAATATAGGCCCAATATAAACTGGAAAAAAAAATATTGTAAATTTTATGCTCTTTGTGTGGTTTTTGGTTAAACCAAACATATTTAAAAACCAAGAAGATACACAGTTTAGTACAAGCCTCTGTAAAATACAAAATACAAAATATTCTGACGCACCAATACCGAATGACAGCTCATAACATTTAAAAATTTAACTGATAGTATACTATATATAGTACATAAAATAAAGCCACATCAAATGTAAAAATATGGGTGAGGCCCAATTGCCCTTTTTATCTGTGGCAACTGTTTGGAAAACACATGCAGGTTATATTTTATGTGTAGGGGAAGGTGGGGGAATTTTGCGCGGTGGGTAATTTTACGCATAAATAATTCTTCCAGATATGAAGTAAATAATACATTTTTTGAATGTTGCAAACTTGGAAACGTTGCTTTGGGTATACGGGGACTAAAGTGTATTAAGCTTGTAGCTTTTAGCTAGTGACCATGGTCACTAGCTAACTGTGATACATGTACGTTGATCTAAGAAATCCATGTCGTTTCCGCTACGAGTTAAGTTTAAATTTCTGTCCAATCGCTTAAATGTTTATAACACAACTTTATATGATCTGGTGTATGTTTAAATTGTTCAGGTTAACTTTTGGAAAGTTTTTTAGTATCACACAGATACCTACAAATCTTTCTCTATACAGCGCAAATTTTCCCCCTATAATGCGCAAAATTACCCTGATAGGTGGGTAATTTTGCGCAAATGCATTATTTTAAAAAATATAGTTTTTGCATACCAAACAATTTTTTTTTATAAAGTGCGCATTATATACACATAGTAAACATAGTAGACTATCGCTGGTATTAATTGCAAAATTTCACATTTAAACTTAACAAAGATACTAGAGATTTTGCTTAGATGCGCAGAATTCCCCCACCTTCCCCTACCTATATATTTTTTATTAAGTACCTAATTAATGTAAGACTTAACTCAAAAAATCATCATTCGGCTATAACGAACTATTTACGCCCCCCATTGGTATATATGAAGTTGAATATACAGGGTGTTATGTAATTAATGTTATATATTAAAATACTGAATACCTTTTGACATAAGGAATAAAGGAAAAATATTTTAAAATACATTTTTCTAAAGATAAAGAAAAAATATGCATTAGAAGTTTTTTATATTTTTTGTGATACGCCACTGGTTACACACTTAGTTTATCTCTGCAAACTTGTATTTTGTGAGTACATAGATACCAACCAACAAAGTAGCTATGCGTTGCCAGATGTAAAAAAATGTTACTAAAAATTTTTCTTGCAAAAAATAAATAAAAATTCAATAAATACAAAAGTTTTATTTTATTAAAGCTCTAATACCCTTCTGTATTTATTTACTGATCCAGCTATTAGCTTAAGCAATGATTAGAAAATTTAGTACCTTTTAAATTTGAAATCCATAACCACAAAATTAATTTTTTCATCAGTTTTTTTCTCTGTTTACTCAGATGAAATTGGGACCAGTTCACAGGTTAAACTTTAAACATTTAATTTGTGTAAATAAATCCAAAAGCACTTCCCTTAGTTAAGATATTTACAATTTGAAAACATAACCTAAAATTTAAAAGAAATGCACTAGATTCTGTCATAAAAGTTGGCAGATTTTGTTTGAATTTACCTTCAGTACAAAAATGACATAATCAACAATTAATAAAAACGCCAAATTGACAATTTGCATTGTTAATTTTGTCATTTTTGTAATTAAGCTAAATTTAAACAATGTTTGTCAACTTTTTTGAGAGATTTTGGAAACACTGTTCCTAGAGGTGGGCTGTTCGATACGATACGTATCGATACAAGTGATACGGACGGGATATCGTTAGAATCGATATAAATTTATGTATCGAATACATTGTATCGATATCGCTAATTATGAAAAGTCCTTATATATAATGCCATGAACTATATCGATGACTTTTTGCCAAAGTATCGTAAGCAACCTAACCCAAATTTCGGAACTTGAAAACATTTTGCTTGTCTGTTTAAAATTAAATATAGCCTAAAGGTTTTATAATAGTTAAATACTTAGCTTATAATTATAGCTATTTACTTGTTATAAAACCTGTAGGTTATATTTTGTTTAAAACAGACTTTAAAACAAAAATGTTTTTAATTCCCGAAATTTTAGTTATGTTGCTTGCGATACTTTGGCAGGAAGTCATCGATATATTGCTATTGCTTTTGCGCTTGTTGCGTATTTTTAATAATCTACCGTTGATAAACGATTCTACCGAAATTTTGGAAGTTTGTTCGATTAAGGCTGACGGTTGGTATTGCATCTGACTTTTAAGTGGCTATCACAAAACTAGTTTAGCTATAAACTAATATATAAATAGAATTCGAATAAAATTGTTTTTCAGAAGTAGAATAGTATATTAAAGTACAAGTTGCAGAAGGCCACATATTCTCGCACGAATTCGAAATTTGGCCTCGAGCGACGAAGGAGCGAGTGGACGAACGAATGAGTGCGAGAATAGCCTTCTGCAACGTGTGATTTATACTATTTTCTCGATTTTAACTTTTATTTAAGTTTTTTTAATTGTTTTGTGGTCGTTGTTAGTTGGGGGATTTTTCTCGCAAAATGTCAGTTGGCAACACAAAATGACAATATTTGTTATCCTGCACAAGTACAACCTGAACTGCACTTTTTCACATTAAACTTAAAATTTTGCATTAAAAGGCTTCATTTTCAATAAAAGTGTAGTTCAGGTTGCACTAGTGCAGGATAACAAACAAAGCTATTATAAATAATCCTAAAAGTAATGAATTTGAGGTTATTAAACAGTTTGACATTTTGGGGGTACCAATACTTAAAAACTAAATGTTACCAAAAATCGTTTAAGAATGAGCTTCATTCTTCAACGATTTTGCGTGCGAGAATATGACATTCTTACATAAAAATCGAGAAAAACACTTTTTACAATAAAATTAAACAAAACATGTCAAAGTGAAGTTTTTTTTTTAAATTTTTATTTTGTCATAAAATTAATATTCTTATCAAAAAATTGTTGTTTTTGTTTGTCACCCACATAGGTTTTTCTATGGTCACCCAATTATGGAAAGAATAAGTAATATAGATCGGGAAACGTCTTTAATTAAATATTAATATATACTCTAAATTGTCTAAATGCACAGAGGGTGCAGGAAGGTATTATCTATAAAGCCTGATTTATAGATTTCCTTCCTTCCTTCCTTTCTCCCGTAAAAGATGATTAATACGAAAATCGTAGTGCCATTTATAGATTTCCGTACGGGAATCTATAAATGGCACTACGATTTTCGTATTGTTCATCTTTTACGGGAGAAAGGAAGGAAGGCAATCTATATATTAGGCTTAATTCAACGCAAATTTGAACATAGAAAAACACGAAATTTAAACGATAAGGATATGACAGAACATAATTATATCAGAGATATGTTGCCTCTTATTCACGTATTCGCCGTCAGATTGTGCGTTTCAATTGAGTGTGTCGTTCTTTTTAATGCTTACTCAGATCACTACATCTCATATCACATTAACTAAAGTGAGCTGAGATCTCAGGCGAAAAGAACGCACCTATTGTAAACAATTGCGAAAAAAATTGCAAATTTTCATATACCTATATTTTTTTCGTTACCTTCCTAATAATTAAATTTATTTAAAAAAAGTTTTTATTTTTTCTTCCATTTTTTTTTAATCTAACCGTATCGTACCAAAATTGTATCGATATAAGCGATATTTTAAAAATTATATCGATATCGTATCGATTCGGCTTTTGTATAGAACAGCCCACCCCTACTGTTACCAACCATAACATAATAAATCCACCAGATTAACCTAAAGTTCCTAGTCGATCAGTGGCGTACTTTTTGGTTGGATAAAGGTTATTATAAATTATTTTTAGACTTTGGAATTTAGAAAAAAAAAGTTTCAGGTGCTTCTTTATGGACCCTAAGGAACAACCCATTTTAATATATAACATTAATTACATAACACCCTGTATAATTTTATAGACTTAACTAGTTGGTATAAATGGCAATGGATAAATAATATTTAAACAGAACAGTGAAATTTAGGTAACAGCTATGTTAATATTTAATATTAAAATGACTGTTACGATGTTATGATTTAAAAAATTAAATAATTATTTAAGTGAGAAGTAAGATGCTAAAGACAGCTTATGCAACTAAAAAATGAGACAATAAAGAATAGGGAACAATAGGCGAAATTTTACTATTTTTTATACTTACAACGATTGGTTCAGCACTTTGTGCCCCAGTCTTTGCAAAAAAGAAAAATATTCAAATGGACTTAATTTGAAAATTACAATTGTGATGTTATTATTGTATTAAAAAGTTAAACATTAAATTTTACGAAATATTGTATACATTGCTTACCAATGGTTCGTTACTTTTGACTAATTGAACAATCTTAATTGTTTCTTCTTCTTCTTCGTCGCCCTCTTGAGGAATTTCGGGAAGATGTGGGTAATAGTCTTTTTGTGCCACAGTATCGTGAGCTTCTAATAAGGCCTAAAAAATAAATAAATATAAAAAGTAAAATATGGAATAAGTTGGTTTAAAATTTCGAATAGGCAATAAGTACCTACTATAAAAGCAAGAAAAACCGAACTTGGTTAAGTCATATTGGATCAAAATTTTGTTTTATACATTTTTGTGAATCTTGTGCCTATTGGTTAAGTCCAAAAATCCCAATCAGATAGCAGGGACGGATCCAGAAATTTCGTTTGAGAGGGGGTCATGTACCGTGGGATAAGTTTAACACAACAGTATTATTTTTTAAATGTATTAAATTTTTTAGCAGTTGATATGTAATATGTAAAAAATACAATAATAAATTGATTTGGGGCTGTCATGATACCCATGATCCGCGCTTGTTGGTTAGTGAGTTTCCATTGTTGCCCTTAAAAATTGGAGACCACTTAATTTAATTACATACTGCTCTCTAAAATAAAACAAACCTATATTTTGATTTAAACTAAGAAACAGGCGCACATTTTTTTGTATCATAAATCATGTCAAGTTTCGCTCCATTTTAAGTCGCGTCCGGTCGTTCGCAAACATTTTGTTCTTTATACCAATAATTGTAAAAAAAATATTAAAATTTTTGTACTTAGTCATTTTTTGTTTTGGGTCAATTTAAACCCCCAAAGGAGTAATATTAATTGAAATAAACAATAGTCGACGCGGCAAATGTTTTCCGTTGCGTCAACAATTTGTAAACCAAGCACAGACATTACTGTTACTGCTATTACTGTTTTCTTTGTATACGTATGTGGGATGTATACCGAACGTGTGTCGATAAACCGGTTTTTGACATTTGAAATTGATGACGCAAAGAAAAAGACTGCATGACGTTTTTTACACACAACATTGTAAGTTGTCCTTTTTTATATATTTTTAAGTGGCTCATATTTCAAAGTATTTGGCAAGAATAAGAGCATTAATGTTTTAATAACGCTTTTTTTATTTTTTATGATTTTAAACTAAGTCAGCCTTTTTTTTCTTTGCGTCATTAAAATGCAGAATTTTTTCACAATTCTAATGATACATAAAACTTAGTGCGACAGTACCGCTTGTACCAGTCAGACGTATATTTCTATCGCCCCACAAACGATACTAAAATAACCAGTGCATTTTAAATCCAGAAGACCTAAAAGGAAATTATTCTATAAGATTTCGTTCAACGGTGTATAGATACGCAAATCCCAACTTGGAATTCCCAAGGTGCATAATCACCTTACCGACCAGGACTAAAGTGCAAAGTGTATAGTGTCACCCCTGCCATTCATTGTGTCGAGAAATTGATATCAATCAGAGGAAACAAGGGGCAGAATTCGGATAAGTATTTTATTAATATTTGCACGTCGCTATTGGCAATACTAAAAACTTGTAATTCCGTAATTCACCAACCTTCTCAAGTAGAAATAACAAAAATACATTTAAAAAACAACATTAAAATAGGTGAACAGGGAATATCAAACCAACATCTTAATAGACCAAAAAATACCTCTCTAAAAATGACTAATTTAATAGTTATAAGTGGCTGCTTTTTTACTTGTACCATGATTAACCATGGTACTCCAAAATTTAACAGCCAATTCTTATGTAAAATTGTCCCCTGAATCCGAAAATGTCGTCAAAAGTTAAAAAATTAGAACAGTTTTTGAGATATAGTCAATTTTCCATTTAATATGGAATTGACTATATATCAAAAACTGCTCCGCTTTCATATTTTTTGACGGTATTTTCGAATTCAGGGGACAATTACATAAGAATTGGCTGTTAAATTTTGGGATACCATAGTATTCCATGGTTAACCATGGTACAAGTGAAAAAGCAGCCACATAACTATTCAATTAGTCATTTTTGACTAATTCATTTCTAGAGAGTATACAGCAAAGCAAGTTCGACTTAAAAATTAAAAAACAAGCATACCGGATCAAAGGACGTGACTTGAAAGTCAATAAACCCATACATCTTAAGTGGGTAACACACAAAACCAATTACTGATCGTCTAACATAAACATAAACAATAAACCTTAATACCCAAATCTATGGAACAAAAGTAATAGTCTTCTGCGAGCCTAAAATAGTATAACAGAATAATTGCGCTTACCATTTGACTTATTCGATTTAACGTAATAAATAAATGCAATACCTTATTGTTAGAAAATGAAAAAAAACCAAATTATGTTCAATTCTATCACAACACGTGCTTGGGCAACACAATAACTAAAAATTATTAGAAAATTTCGCACTACTGTTCCCGAATTTTCAGCATGGTAATTTTTAGCAGACGCTGCCCGACCCCGCGACACATGTGCAGAAACAATCCGACTTGGACACGGACACGAACAATAACGACCAAAACGTAGACCAAGACGTATGCCCCTGCAGCAAAATAACAACTCCCCAACAGTAATCCCAAATGTTTGGATTACTACTAACTGCCTGGTCTAGGGGGATACCGCGTCGTACTTAGATTTGAGTCGGCGTAATTGTCCCCCAAACACCAAAATGTCTATCCCTCCTGTCCTACCTCCTTAATGACCCTACTGGGCGTATAGCAACGGCCCGGCGAATCCGGGAAAAGCTATTTAAACTATTGGCATTTCGCTCTCGAGCCCTAAATAGGGGACAGTACGGGAAGCATTGGACATTTGCACCCAGCAAAAGAAAATCGACGTAAGGAAACAGAGTCCTGTGCGGGGCCCGGGAGCGATGAGGCAATGGGGCCGGTTATAGATCTCTTATACTCATTTATTCTAATGATATAAAAAACTGAGTTTCGTTACTTTGGACGACTGCATAATAAGAAAAATTAATTTGGACTTTTTTAGTTCAAGTATTAATAACTTTTTGGTATTTTCTTGGTAATTTGTTGTTACTGTGTAAAACAAAATTATTGCAAATTATGAAATACAAAATATTGAAGCATTTTATGTAAAAAAAACTTTATTGCAGTGTGCTCACACTTGCTTTGGAGGATAAACGTGAGTGCAGTATTAATCCATCCAATTTTTCGATTTGTTAGGTAACCAAACTTCTGTGTGACATAAAATAAAATTAATATTTTTTGTTTATTTTGTGCTAGCCCTTGTTTTAAACTTTATTTAATCGACATTATTAATACCGGTGGTCAAGCGGTAGAGTATCCCAAAATATATACCGGTTATATACATTTAACATACATAATATCCGCGGTTCTTATTCTAAACTTCAAAATCATGTAGCTTAAAAATACAAAAAATCTTTCAATGTTTGGGACTTTAAAAAATTGGAAAATACTTTTGTAGCAAATTTAATGATTTTTCTCGTCATTAACTCATTAATTTGGTAAAACATTACAAAAATTTAATGATTTTTCTCGTCATTAACTCATTATTTTGGTAAAACATTACAAAAATTGAAAATGACTTTATTTTGTTTATTTTTATTTTACCTATAAAATTCTGCAATGGGGTTGGTGCTTTTTAAATGCAGCTACCCTGTTTAAAAAATATTTGAAAATGGTTTCTTTCGGGGTTAAAGTTATGGTAGGTACATATTTAAATATTTTTATCCACTTTGGAATAGTTAAATGTCTTAAAAAATAAATTAACGTGTATATATTATACATATACAATTTAATTATGGACTGAGCCCTTATTTGGATGCTACCCCAAATTTTGTATGCGATGCGAGCTTAAAAATTGATGAACAGTATATTTTTATGGAAATCTCAAAAAAACAATCTTTTAGTTGCCATTACAACAACAAATTAAAAAAAATTTATATTGTTACTTACTTACTTTTTATGTAGGTATTACTTTTTAGTGAATTATGAATTGCACTACTTTAATTTGAATAATCTTAAAGGGGTGGCAGGGGACTGGTGAGGAGCGCTGAAAAACTAACTTTAAAAGTGTACAATGCATGTAACTGATAAAAAACAAATTCATAATTTTCATTTTTTTATTTAAAAGTTAATTAAAAATATGATAATAAATAAATATTTTCAAATTTTAAATTATTTTTCAATATGTTAATATTAAACAATAAATACTGAAAATTTCATTAAAATACATCTAACGGTTTTTCTGTCATCTATTTTTTAATTAAAAAATTGTTCTTAAAATGAAAATTAAAAAAACTGTTTCAGGGTTTTATTATTGAAAGTTACATTAAAGTTGTATTAAAATATATTAATTTGAATTCTATGATCACTTGAGGTGAATATTATATTATATTACATATTTTACGCCATTTTAAGCCATTTTTTAATTTTTATAGAAAAAGTCAGTTTCGAAAAAAAATCATTAAAATTTTCTAACTACATTTTTTTATGACAAAAAAGAGCATTATACACTGCCCGTAAAAATTAACGCATAATAAGTAAAAAAATTCTAACTCTAAAACGCCTTTACCAATCTTTATGAAATTTTGTATAAAAATATATCTTATATCTCAGTTACACTTGTTCGAGAAAATATTTTTAAAGCCCTTTTATTTAATAATAAAAAAAACGTTCAAAAAATAACGTTTAGGGATTTTTTTTAACCAAATAAAAAATATGCTGTTAAAGACCGTATTTTTGTTAGTATACCCTGAAAATTTTGTACAAATCAAACGAACAGTAACGAAGATGCAGCGCTTAAAGTCAGTAAAAATTACCCCTTTTTGATTATATTGCTGAAAAATGGTCATTTTTGATGACTTTGAAGCGCTGTATTTTCGTTACTGTTCGTTTGATTTTTACAAAATTTTCAGGGTATACTAACAAAAATATATTTTTGTTAGTATACGGTCTTTCACAATATAGTTTTTATTTACAAAAAAAAATTTCCCTATAAAAGTTTTTTTCGAGCGATTTTTATTATTAAATAAAACGGTTTTAAGGATATTTTTTCGAAAAACCCTCGAACACGTAAACTGAGATATAAGTTAAAGTATTTTTATACAAAATTTTATAAAGATTGGTAAAGGCGTTTTAGAGTTAGAAGTTTTTTTACTTATTGTGCGTTAATTTT